TCTGTTCCCAGTTTCGCTGTTCTTACAAACACTGGTCTCTTTTGACTGGTTGATGTTTCTGTGTGAATATACCAGGAGAGCATGATGTCTTCACTTTTATCTCCCAGTGACTCCTCCTGGTCGTTGAGCTATTAAATTATTAAAATTCTGTAAAGTCAATAACGTCACTTTCCAGTGCACTCCAACAGCTGCTTTTCCTGAGCAGTCTTCCTCCCTCCACCCCTATCCATCACTGTGCAGGCATGAAAGTGTTTATATTACATATGTCTGGTTCTGTCCACCCTAAAAGGATAAAGCAGTCCTTTAATTTCTTCCCTGTAATAAGTCCTTTTCCCTCGTTTCTCAGCTGTTGCTCAGTGTCTCTTACTTAGATGAATCTGGGTGAATTTCTGGCCTCTAGTTGTTGTGTTTAGGAGTCTTGTGGAAGTGTTTTGCTGTTGCGTATGGTGTTGGTTCATACCTCTGAAAATACCTACAAACAACTGAAACATCACTGAATTGCTGTGTGAATTTATGTTTTCAGTTCGGGATCAGAAACTGCATTTTTTTCACCTGGAAGCGATCCCAAAGTTTTGTTTTCGTTTCGGTATCTCAAACATGTTATATGCTGCACAGTATCCAATGAAACTTTAGATTTTCATTTTGCTTCTGCGGTGGGTTTTCATTGTATATTTTCTTTGTACATTTTTTCCCCCAGTGTGTGACCCCGGGATATGCAGGGAATCAAGCTGAATTTTCATTACTGTATTGCTTTGCTCTTTTGGCTGGGGTAGGAACTTCCAGATTTGTTGGTAGACTCATTTGTCCCAGTCTTTGGCACTGTACTCTGGATGAAGTTTTCAGGGTGACAGCATTCCTGACCAGGAATTTTAGTCTTCTAGGCATTCTGAAAATACCTCTGGAGAAACACAGTGACACTTGTGTGTTCTTACCAGAAAGCAGCAGTAATTTAGATACAGATTTAGATAAACCACCACGTGGACAATCATTTCTCCTGCCATCCTTTCAACTTCTGGAATTTTGGGTATAAAAACGCTCTTCTATGCTAAGGAAAGGCAATGCCTTTCAGATCCATAGGTGCTGGCAGGGGTTACATTATTTGATGGCCTTGTTATTTGTCCTGTGCAGGTAATTTGTAGGTAGGTGCCATATGTAAAATCTCAAAACTGGGATTCTCATCATTGCCGCTGTTCTTTCCATTTTTAATTGCAGCGATCACTGTTAAATTTTGCCTCTTGACACAACTGTAGGTCTCCTTCATTTTATCTCAGATCATCCTATGCTGTTGTCTTGTTTTTGGAGTTGCACGGTTAAGTCCTTCCATTCGTTTTGAATAAAATTGGTCTTTAAAAAGGAGTCTCAGTGTTTTGGGTGTGGGCTTTTTTTGTTTGTTTGATTGTTTCAAATGAGTCAGGGCTAAGTGTTCCATTTTCTTCCCTTTCACTGCATGTATGAATGTGCTTTATTTTCTTGTGCTGCCTCAAGGCTGTTGAGTGGGAAAAAAAAAGTGCCTTTTTTCCTTAAAATGTAAATGGTACTTCCTGGTGTTTAATTTTTCTTAATTTCCCTTCCATTCGTGTTTATTTGCTGCTGTTGTGTTTTACATGTAATTAATACAAATTTTCTTACATCTTCCTTTTGCTTATTTTAAATGTTTTCTGCTTTCTGATTCCGTAGGCTTTTCGGGCCTGTTTCACTTGTTTCAGACATGGATGGCTAAATCCTCTTCCTGCTCTAGGCCAAGGTTGATAACACTTAATCAGAGTGCACCCAGCCCTTTGTGCCTGGGGGTGCAGGAAAAAGAAGAGGTAGAACTTGAATTGTATACAGCCATGGCTCAGTTTTTGGGTCAGTTCTGAAAGAAAAGCTCTGCTCCTTTCTTCAGCCTGGCATCCCATTGTTGGGACAACACCTCCAAAATGTGTCTGGAACATCACCCCACTCTCAAAATGTGTCTGGAACATCATCCCACTCACTCTCAGGAGTAGAGCAAGTTAAAATGCAGTTTTTAAAGCAGTGCTGTTGCTCTGTGACTCTGGATATGCATCCCCTGACCCTTCTGTAAGACACTGCTTTTGAAAAAAATAAATTTAAAAAAAAATTACTCAAGCGCTCACCCCCACCCACTGTTTCTCATTTGCTGGCAATTTGCTCTGTGCCGTGTGCCAGAATGCATCTTTGGAGGCAGGCTCGGGTCAGCTGCTGTCATTCCACTGCCTCTGATGGTTTTGGAGTGGGCACGATGCGCCCAGTGGAAAACTTCCCGTGCCTTCAGTCAGCTGTGGGCTCTGTCCAGGGTGATCCTGGTGGAGCTGGGCTGCACCTTCATGCCAAGAGAGCTGTCTGGCACGCTGGTTCTCAGACACCAACAGAAGCCCTATGTGTTAATCCTGAGTGTTTTCCTTCAGGAAGTGCTAAATCTTAGGCTGCAGCAAGTTTGCAGCAAGCGTAATGAAAGGATTTGGCGTGGGAAAAGGCAAGGAGTACACTAGGCCATGCATGCCACCATTGTTCAAGGGTACAGCTCACTGGAAAAACTCTTTAGGTGGCTTTTTAAAACTCCTTTAAATGTCATAACTCTTTTAAATTTAATGAAGCAATAAACTGAAAAACTGTGAGGTGGCCAGTGTGAAAGGTAGAATTTTCTTCTGGCTATTCATGATGACAGGGAAAGCTACTTGATAGGCGTTTTTGTGTGTGTGTGTGTGTGTGTGTGTGTGTGTGTGTGTGTAAATTGACATGGAACTATCTGCTTCTGCAGTTTCCACAGACCAGATTCCACAGGGCTGTGTAAATAACCAATGGAAAGTCTGAAAGCTGGAATAATAGACACCAGATGATAGGAGGAGTAAAAACATCTGAAGTACAGTAGATCTTGCAGACAACAGCAGAACTTCCTTCTCCTGAAAATAATGGTTTTTAGACCTGTAGCTTCCTTACCCATGGATATCTCTGGGACTTTGGCCAGGAACATTGGTGATGTGGTGGAAATTGTTGATCTTTTCTTCCTGAGGAGGGGAACAAGTGAGCCACAAAGTAGACTTCAATACCCTAAGAGTAATTTGACTAGTACACTTAAAAAAAAAAAAAAAAAACAAAAAAAAAAACCAAAACAAAAAAACCCCAAAAAAACTAAACAAAACAAAAAAAACACCCCAGTTTCAAATGCTCTTTTCAAACTTTCTTTTTAGGCTGCCTTACCATTGCCAGGAGATCTGTCTAGCAGTGTTTTGGACTTTTAGAATCACTGAACCTGGTAGCCCAGAGAAGTGAGTCAGCAAATCCCATCTGAGCTCTCACGGTTCTGTTCCGAGGGAGAGTGAGCACACAGTTGCTGCCTTTGAGAGAAAAAAGACTTCTGCAGAGGGTTCACAGTTCCTCAGGGCTGTCCTGTGCCAAAGTAAAGGATGTGGGGAGCCTGCTTCCAGCACAAGGGAAGGAAAGCCTTGACATTTAAACAGGTGGAGCTCACTGTGAGCCCTCCTGGTGAACAAACGTGCTGTGGAAGTGGTGGAAGCAAGGGATGATAAACACTGCATTGTAATCCAGCCTCACTCGGCTCGTGGGGCTTGGATAAGAAAAACAAAACCAAATTTCATTCATTTTACCAGAATCTTTCATGTCTCTGCCTTTCCCTTTGGCATATACACCTGGTGGTGAAGCCAGGGGAGCCTGGAGACATGTACCTGCTGTATCTGTTTTATTTCAGGGTTTGGTTTGGTTTGTTTTATTGTCTTTTTTGCTACTCATTTCTTGGGCATGTATAATGAAAAGAAAGCAAGCATTTTGCTCTTTCGAAGACAGGTGGGGAAGTCCCCACACTCAGTGTTGTATAGGCCTGTTTGCCTTTTGTTTCCCTATACTAATTGGTTGGAACGGATGGTGTTAAGTTCCCACAAATGTGTCTGTTAGGGAATTCTTATATATCTAGCCTTGGGGAATTCAGCTTTAGAAAATGAAGTACACATCAAAGCAGGAGGTGGCTGGTACAGTTTGTGTCCTGACTTCCCTCCCACCTCACCCCTCCCCTAGCTTTTCTTCCCCCTTCTAGAAAGCTTAGGAAAAGAGCCTTTTGTCTTCTATTCAGGAAAATTGCGCTGAAATTCATCTGTGCTTTATTCATCTGCTTTGATTTGTGCCATTCATGGGCAGCTGTGGGTTATGTAGAACAAAGCAGATGAATTCCTAACCTCCACATTCAAGCAGTGTGTTGGGAAAGGTTCAACACCACCCTCCCTCCCCCCACACTCCTTTTTTGGGGTATCCAACCAACATACTGCAGCTTTCGGTTTCAGTACTGAGACACCTCTGGACTCTGTTCCTCCACATGCCATTAAAATGGTGTGGCAGAGTTCTGCTGGCTTGTAGAAGGGATGTGTCTTTAGAGATCTCTTTTCTCAGTGTGGCCAAGCATCAGTTTGAAAGTTTGCTTAACTGGAATTTATGATTAAACATCTTTTTTTCCAATTATGCTTTAATTTCTAACATCATCAGCCTGAGTAGGGAAGAGTATACATTTATTTTTCTTCTTTCTTTCCTTTTTTTCCATATAGATAGATTATTTATATGTACCCTGTGCCAGATCTTCACCTTGTGTGAACGGGCTTAAGATATTTGAGAGGATCTGGTCTGATTTATGTGCCAAACACATAAAACATTTGGCAGTATGATTAATGGGGTTTGCCTTCAAAAACTAGGTGTCTTAAAATCAGGCTTCTTTTTACACTACTCTAATTTAAATGTGTCACTCATTTACTCCCTGAATCAGATCTAAAAAAGTGTAATTTATATTTCTCAGTTTATAAATTGTAGAATACACGTTAAATTAGATTAAGAAGCGCTGCACCTCTTAATCTCTTCAGAAAGCAGGATTAGTTTCATAACCAGCAGCTTGATCAATCCACCCTCCAAAAGCCAGTAGTTCTGGAGCAGGCATCATCAGACCTTTTTTAGATTTGTTGGTCCACCTGGAATAACAGCTCTGCTCTGTTTCCCTGCAGACTCTTCATACTCGGAGCCTCCTGACGTTCAGCAGCAGTTGAACCACTACCAGTCTGCAGCTTTGGCCAGGAACAACAACAACATCAGCCCAATCCCACTCTCTGGGAGTGCTGCAGGAGTGGAAAAAGCAGAAGCCATCCTCAACTGTGAATTTTGCGAATTCTCTTCGGGTTACATACAGAGCATCCGGCGCCACTACCGCGACAAGCACGGCGGGAAGAAGCTCTTCAAGTGCAAAGATTGTTCCTTTTATACGGGCTTTAAGTAAGTACTGTGCAAAACAGATGAACTGAACACGTAAGGGGTTTTCTTTTTCAGCACTTGAAAAGACTTCTGAGGTCTTTGATGGCTAACAGGAACATGGCCACTGCTGGCCAGGGAGAGCAGTGTAAGAAATACCATGCCAGATCACAGCAGCATCCATGTAATCCATTTTCTTCTCTCCTGCAACAGCCACTACCATCTGCTGCAGACAACAAGTTGCAGTAGGTTGCAGAATCAAGGAATTGTTTAGGATGGAAAAGACCCTTAAGATCATCAAGTTAACCATTAACCCAGCAGTGCCAAGCCTTAATGACAAATCCCTCCAGGGGTGGTGACTCAGCCACTTCTCTGGGCAGCCTGTTCCTGTGCCTGACAGCCCTTTCTGGGAAGAGACTTTTCCTTACATCTAATCCAAATCTCCTCTGGTTCAACTTGAGGCCAACAGGTCCGCAACATCCCCACTGTCCACTTGGCACAATAATTTTTGCAAAAGTCATAAACTCTCCATTTTTCTCCCAGTTCCAGACACATTTCTTTATTGGCACATGGAGTCAATCTGCTCTTGCACCTTTAGGCTTTTCTCCTTGGAAAACATCCAGTGTTCCTGGATTCCTTTGTCCTCCAGGATGCCTTCCCAGGGAACTTTCTCAACCAGTCCCTTAACCATGCCAAAGTCTGCCCTCTGGAAGTCCAACGTGGCAGTTCTGCTGCACCCATCCTTACTTCTCCTAGATTCTCTGAGAATCAAAAGCTATCATTTCATAATCCCTTTGTCCTTAAGTGTGAAAATTTTCTCTGCAGAAATAATGTAATTTCCACATGCAACCAGCATGAAATGTGGGACGATCAAAGTGTCCAGCAGTGACAGGGGAATTTATTTCACCTTACTGAAGAACCTCTTCTCATGTAATTTTATTTTCCCCCCAGTCTTTCTAGGTTAAATGATAGAAAGATGTTATTCTCTAGCATATCTAATAGCATACAGAGACATTTAAAAAAATTCAGTTATTGAAATTCAAGGGTTTGGTGCCTTGTGTGCGTGTGTGTGTGTTTTTAGCTGCTCTTCTGTAAGAAAAGAACCTGTGCAGTTCACCATTTCCTCCTGATGTGCTGGGCCCTTGAGCATAACACCCTGAGCTGACTTTTGAGGTCTTAAACTTGTTAAGAGTGACAGTAAACAGTAGGACTGGATCAAGGGAAGGAGTTCTGTTGAAGAAAATACTGAGCACAAACCTGAGAGAATCCACATAGGATTAGCCTCTAGTTGCACATCTCTACCCTTTGTTGCTTCATCTCCCCATGTTAAAATTTGCTGCTTATGTTTAGTATCCTGAATGCTCTCTGTCTTAAATACTACCAAAAATTTACAGGTCCAATCTGTCTGTGTCTTGCAAGTGCCATGTTTTTTCACCTTGATACTATGAAATAAATCAGGAAGCATTTAAACATGTTCATAGCAGCATATTTTTTGTCTTAAAAAAGGGGAGGAGGAGGCAAAAAATATCCCCAAAAACATGCCAATCCTCTCTTCAAGTCACCCTAGAAACTTAAAAGCATGAGAGCAGTGACCAAAGTTGATAGAAATACACCTGCAGAATTCAGTGATTGCTGGATTGGGTCCAAAGCCACTTTTTACTCTAGTTCAATGTGTCAAGCCCTTTAGCTTTTGCAAGGTTTATCACTGCTTTAGGAAAAAATTATCCAGTGGTCCAAGTTTAGGGATAGCTCTGGTTTCAGTAGTTGGGCTTGTGGTTAGATGTATGTACAGTTAATTTCTTCTGTTATGCATATCTCTTGCAAATTGTAAGTGTGCAGCCAGTGTAACGCCAGCATGAAATTTTTGGTTCAGAAGTACTATGAAGTGTTCATTCATTCTTCCACACTAATAAATACAGTATTCTAAGTCTTGGGTTTTCAGACCATTAGAGCTGATGATGTAAAAGTTAAACCACTCAGTGCCAAACTCACTGCATGAACACAAATCCCTTTGGTACCCACAGTCTAAAGGTCATGTGGTTAGATCAAGATAGTTAAGGATGTTTTCTGCCTGAAATAAGTTTGTCCTCCCCTCTGCAAGTCCAGAACAGTTGACGGATTTTGTTCAACTTGCTAAAAATTTAACCTTCACCGGAGAAAGCGCACAGAGCGTTTCAGCCTGAAGACAGATAATGAGCATGAAGGATGGGAATTCTTTTGCTATCTTTAACTATAGCAGTGTGACTATAACGGAGCAGCCCATGCAGCAGAATATCTTGTCACGACGAGTGTTTGTTGCTTTGAGGCTGCGAGCCCGCAGATTCCTCTGCTCATGTGAGCAGCCCCTCTGCGGGGCGGTGTGGACAGGGCTGAGTGGCATCTGCAGCTTTTTACACCACACGTCCCTTACAGAGAGCTGTGGCACCTCGCTGCTCCCCTCCTGACTGCTGCTGTCTCCCTCCTCTCTCGCAGATCTGCTTTTACTATGCACGTGGAGGCCGGGCATTCAGCAGTCCCCGAGGAAGGACCCAAAGACCTTCGATGCCCTCTCTGTCTCTACCACACCAAATACAAACGCAACATGATTGACCACATAGTTCTGCACAGAGGTAACAGTGTCCGTGTCCGTGTCTGTGTCCAGTGAGGGGAGCCCTGGTCTGCTTCCATTCCGCATTTCAGACTGGTTTCATTAAATTTTTCCTCTCTCTGTGCATGAGGACAAGTATGTCGAAGGAGTCACTAGCCCCTGATGGTCTTTTTGTTTCATTTCTATGAGATGTATCTGGTTTATTTCCTGTAAAATTCAAAGTTTGCCAGTGCTGATTTGGGATAGCTTTTAAGCTTTTCCTTAAGGGAGGTGAAAAGCCATCAAACACCTGTTTAGAAAGAGTTGCCCTAATTTGCAGCTTTGATCTAGGCCAGAGCTGTGCCCCGACAATGTCCTTTTTATCTTAAAGGCCTTGTTATCATAAAGTCACCCAAAAGGTTTATCAGCTAACCATAGAGGCCTCAAAATATCCCTTGATAAATTCCTTGAGTATTTTCTCCTCCGTGTTCTTAGGAACAAAATAATTATTTCATTTTTTGCTTTACTGTAAGACTCCTTTTCTGTCTACACCTCTCCATTTTTAAAATTTTGCTTTTTAAGCCTGCTACAAGTGGGAGTAGGGATTTCTATATTCTATTAACTGTGGGCTTAGTAGCTCAGAAGAGACAGCAGTTTGGGCTCTCTGGGCTGGGATTCCTGCCCACAGCTATCACACTTGATGCTTGTGGATGGTCTGTTGGCTGCCGAATTCCAAACCCATGTGTTGGGATGGCACTCTGCCTGCATGCAGGTTGGGCAGAGATTCACAGTGGGGTACTGGTGGTGAGCAAACACAGGTTTTGCATGCCATCTTTTTCCTGGAGGAGATTCTGGTGTGACAAGTGCTGTCGTAATTCCTTGTAGTATACCACTTCTCAGCGTGTTGGTAGCTTGAAGTCCTTCTTGTACCAGCACAGTGAGCTTGGCAGAATTGAGATTTCCTTCTGCTAGCAAGGCTGCTCTGAGGGAACATCTGGGGAAATTACCTGTCAGTGATTCAGAAAGCACATTACAAAGCTGACATATTTGGTTGCAAGGGTTTGGCCGATGCTTTTGCTTTTACTTCTGTCTTTGAAGGTGTTGCTGTGTCAGATGTTGCCTGGTTTTCTCCATTTTGTGACCATGCCAGACCTTTAAAACAGAGGGAACTGGATGGGTTTAGGATATTTTCCATCATGCATAGGTTTGGTATTGGGAATGTCGAGTTGCAGAAGTGGAAGAGCACTTCATGAGCTCAAGTAGCTCTACTGCTTGTGCAAGCTGTTTCTGACCAGTTGAAAGGAGGTTGTCACCTCCTGGGTGAATGAAACTCTAGATCTTTTCTTCTGTAGGACTTGTTTCAGTTGCACAAACCAACCTCAAAAGAGTTTTTTGCTGCTGAAACAAACCTTATGGCAGAAGTACATAATGGCTATGCACCACAGTGTTGGGGGGAAGAAAATCAGAGTAAAATAAGTTTTAATGCTAATGGGATTATAACTGATAAACAGTCTCAGAGGCCACGAAATGGTTTTCTTTAACATCATGTATCCAGGGTTCCTACTTAGAGTGATTTCTGGTGCATAAATCCAGCTAAAAAACAGCCCTCTGCTGTTGTGTTTAATTGTGTGGCAGCTGAAGCAGATGGTTTTGACAAGATTTAATGTGCTCTGAAAAAGAGGCTGAGGGATAGTCAGTGTAGTCTGAGATAGCCTTCCTGTTTTATGGCCATTGCATTGGCAAAGCAAGGGCATAACCCTGAGCTGCAGCCCAAGAAAATTAGTTTTGAGGTAGATGGAGTGGTGCAGTATGTAAAATCAGGAGTGAAGGATTCGATCCATTCATAGTTAATGTTCCTTTTGTGCAAAAGGCATGTTTACAGATGCATGACTCTTACATTACTTCCAAGTTGCTGCACCCCTAATCCTTGGTGAAACAGCATGTGCTTGAAATGGAGAATATATTTGCCTCCTAATGAGTGGCTGCAGAGGCTGAATTTCACAGGGTGAAAGCAGTATCAGCTAGATGCTTGAATGCCTAGTGAGAAGAAAAAGAAAAAAAAAGGCAAGGAATTTGCTTTCCATGAAGAAGGAGAGGTTCCAAGAGCTTCTCTCATGTACCATCTGCCTTTGACCAGTGCTAGGGCAGTCCAGCCTCTCTCCTGTGGGTACAGATGGAGCACAGACTCCTTACAGGTGTCCTGTCCCAGGGGGCTGACACAGCCAGGGGCTGCTGCAGGTCAGTGAGGAGAAGTTTGGTGCTCTAGTTCTTCCTGGTCTTTATGACAGGCAAGAGAAGACAGGGAATTCCTGATCTAGCAGCATGTTAGCCTTTCATTTATGCTGGACAATACAATTAGTGTGTCACAGAATCATTGAGGTTGGAAAAGAGCACTGAGACCATCAAGTCCAACCTGTGACCAGTCCCCACCTTGTCCCCAGCCCAGAGCACTGAGTGCCACCCCCAGGTGCTCCTTGGACACCTCCAGGCATGGGGACTCCAGACCTCCCTGGGCAGCCCCTCCCAGTGCCTGACCACCTTTTTCCCTGATGTTATCCTTCCCAGCAGCATTCCCCTCATACATTTTGAAGTATATTGGTGTTTTTCCAGGGCTAAATTCAACTTACCAAGTTCACTGTTGGCTATACTTTTAAATCCTTGGGTGTTTCTTTTTTCTTATCCTTCCTTTAAAGAGTTAGCGATTCTCTTCTTCCATGTAAGAGAATAACACCCATATGTTTTGAATATTAACCTTTAAGATAAATTTTCAAATTTACCCACCTCCCCCAAAGGCTTCCTTGCTACAGATCCTGGTTCCTTGCACGTGGTTTTTTCTGGCATTTTCCATTGTACAGACAACTTCACAGATACGTGCAGAGCCTTTGTGCAGTGCTTGCTTTTGACTACTGGAATCCAAATGCTACTTGTTATGTGAGTGTAGTTTGTATTTCCAGGCAAAAATGTGTATTTTCAAAACCCAGGATGACCCAAGTAATTGGTCTGTGTCTATGTAGTAGGACTGCTTTTTGGGTTTTTTTTTTTGTTTACCTTTGAGGGAAGGAATTGAGTTATATATATTTTGATGTGTTGCTGAACAAAGATTTCTCCTTACAACTAAGGACTAATAAGAGTCCTGAGCTCTCCTGTGCCTTGAGCAAAAAAATGTATGTCTGCTTGGAGTTACAGTACTGAGAAAAGTTAGTCATCAATGTCCCTTCAGTTAATTCCCTGATACAATTAGCCTGAATATTCCAGCCTAGTGGAAGGACTGGATTTCTTAAACCAAGATGATGCCTTTGTAAGGTGTTTATTCTGTTGTTAATTTTTTAATTACCACTCTCTTAAAATCGTTTCACAAGTCAGGACATCTTTTTGTGAGGTGTCTACAGTAGTCTTTGATAAGACACAGTTGAGCTTTGAAGAAGTCTCACAGGGGTGAAAAAGCTACCTCTTCAATTTTTGTATGGGGCTTTATGGTTTGCTGTAATTTTGTTGGTTGTCCAGACATGATAAGTGCATTCTAAATGAGTAATTAAATAAACAGAGCTTTGCAGGGGCAAGCTGGAGGTGAGAGGAAATGCAACATTCCAGTTCCAGGTATCCCTGCAAGTTTCAAAATCATAGCTTGGAGCAAGCTCACTGACATGAATACATCTTGTAGAAGTTATAAATCATCCTCTGAAATGGAAGTCTTTCGATCTAGGGTTGATATTTGTGTCTGTTTTGCTCTTTTGTTACTGTGCTGCCTTTTATTTGGGGACTCTGTGTGTGTGGTTGTGAGGTGATAGGTTTTGTTCATGTGAATAACAGAATGCTGCTTTACTTCAGGCTGGTAGATTTAAAGTTTTTTATGCCATCTCATGTTTTGGCATTTTTAATCTCTACCAGGTGTTAGAGGAAAAGTGAATGTTAAGATATTTTAATCAGTATTTCTGTTTTTGAAAACTTCACTTGGCTTTTTCACTTCTGAAACCGCCTGTGTCACTTGTTTCTGAGAGTCCAAAAGCACGCAGCTGCAACAACCTTGTAAAAAGTTTCTCTGGTGACCTCAGTAGCACAGCTTTGAATTCTGCTGTGTCTTAAACCCTATTCTCCCCTCCCATTTCCACCCTGAATGGCCATTATTTGGTTTCTTAATAGCTAGAGAAGCTGTTGTTGGTGTAAAAAAGAATCATAAGTCTTTGGGTGTTTATTTTCTTTTTTTTTGGGGGGGGGGAAACTTCAAAAAGAGGAAGTTACGAGATAGATAAAGTTTTGTGCTCAGGGAGAAGCTAGGCAGGATGGAATATTTTGTTGAGCTGTAGAAAAAAAGTCTTGCTGTAAGGGGAGTGTGTGTTTCTGTAGTTGTCTTTGGATGTAATTTTACCCTCCTCACTAGAAGAAAGGGCCCGTTGGCTCAGGTCCATGTGTGCACTGCCACGTCTCACATTCCTCCAGCCTTCATGTCTACCGTAAGAGATTCAGGCCTCTTTTTTTTTTTTTCTCCTGTCCTTGGGGATGAGCCTGGATCAGGAGGATCAAAAAACCCTCCTTTAGTATGCAGTGCAGGAGGAGGAACAGTGCTGAGTTTCAAGTGTTCTAGCTCAAAACGCCAGTTTGGGTAACAAAAGCCTTAACGAGGAGCTGCTGGTGACCCTCAGCTGAGCGGTCAGATCTGGGGTTTCTCTGGTGTGCACAGCGTGGAGGGAACCACAGTGGATGAGTGTGATTCTGGCTGTGTCAAATGGCCGAAATTAATTGCTGCTCTGTTGAACATCACTGCTTTGTTAGAGGGAGTGCAGAGTTTAAAAACTCAGCAAGAGCATTTTCAGTACATCATGCGTGCAGAGTTTGGGCTTTCTGAACGCTCTGGGTATGTCAGGAAGTTTCTGCTGCTGGCTGAACTTGCACAAGCTTTTTTCCAGGGAGAATTGATGCCTTGCTCACCTTCCCAGTCCCCAGAGGGCAGGTTTGGGTGTGGTGGTGAGGACACCAGCTCCAGTGTGCAGAGCCAGCAGTGTGTGATGCTTTGGGAAGCACACCCTGCAGCTCCCCTGTTTATTGCTTTTCTAGGAGCAGTTCTCTGCTGCTGTCAAGTACTAAACAAAAACACGCTTTTGGTCTTGGCTGATTTATGGCTGGTTTTGTGTTCCTAGGCTCTGCTCCTCTGACTCACAGATGGAGTCTCACTTGGCCCAAAACCTTCCATCCCCATCCTCTTCACCCCACCACCAGTTCACAGAGGACACCTGCATTGGTGGCTTTTGGAGATTAACCCTGCCCTGGCGGGCAGGATTGTTTTCCCGGTGTTGTTAAGTGGATGTTGTGCTGTCCCCACAGAGGAGAGGGTCGTTCCCATCGAAGTCTGCCGTTCCAAGCTGTCCAAGTACCTGCAGGGAGTCGTTTTCCGCTGTGACAAGTGTACCTTCACCTGCTCCAGTGACGAGAGCTTGCAGCAGCACATAGAGAAGCACAATGAACTGAAACCTTACAAATGCCAACTCTGCTACTATGAGACCAAACACACAGAGGAGCTGGACGCTCACCTTCGAGATGAACACAAGGTAAGACTCAATTAGCGTCAATTAGCTGCAATCTAGTCCTTGCAAATACTGAATTTATTTGCATGTCTGACTAGCCAGCTTGACTCTGGGGTTGTTTTTGACCCTCCTTCCCCAAATCTGAAAACTACTCCCATGTTGTGCTTTGCTTTCTCATTTTTATTTATCTTTTTCTGTTGTTGTTTCTTCAGAAACTGAAAAAGAATCATTTCTGAATCTGTTCAGATTGATCAGAATTGGCAAACTGCTGCATGCAGAGTGTGATTATCTGGAAAAGGCTCTTGTGTATGTGGGGTTTATCTAAAGGGGGGTGGGGAAAGAGTTGTGGAACAATAGCAAGGCAGTGTGATTCAGCCCCCTGTAAAAGGCAGGAGATTCCAAACACAGGATTACTCTGGTAACTTCAGCAGCATGACATGCCACGCATATTTTAATAACAAAGAGGTCTATACATCCCCTTTTACCTTTAACAAGGGAAAGATAAACAGCAAGTCTGACCAGGTCCGCAGTTACCCTGAGAGCATAGCAGGTCCAATCTTTGAGAAGACTGCTAGCTTTGAATTTCCGTAGCTGAGAAATGTTTAAGTTCTAGAACTGAGATGTGTTTTGGAATATTTCCTAGAGTGCTTCCTTGGCAGGTTTCCAGGGAAGGCAGCTATATGCCTTCCCCTCTTAGAGCTTAGCTGCCCAAGATCCTCACTAAAAGCTTCATTGACTGAATAGCTTTTCCTTAAAGCCAAATATATATATAAGATATTAGCAGCAGAAGTCCAAGGGGAAAAAAATAAACAACAAAAAAAAAAAAAAAATCACCAACAGTTTTCATGCTCAAAAAATATTTGGCCATCTTATAAAACCAAACTTTGTTAATTTATGTTGGCATGCTAGGCTCTTCTGCCATCCTTGTTACTTCTGGAGAGTCTTCTGCGATTCAAATGGTACAGAAGGAGTTCCACACCTCCTGGTCATCACAGCAAGGTGCCTGCTGTATCCAGGAGAAACTATTGCTTGGGTTTTATTGGCATAGTGCATCAGGCTGGGAAGATGATTCCCTTAACTTAGCTCTCCCTTCTGATCTGGACCTGCGGTGGTGGTGCTGGTAGTTTAAGGTATCTCTTCCCCTTTTTTGGTGGGTAAATTATACCTCTCCAATTTGTGTCTGAAGTTCTGGGCTCAGATACTACCCAGGTTGTATATTGCACCTCAAAAAGAGTTCCTTCACATGAGCTGAGTTGAATCAAGTGCCTTGAGTGTGGTCTTGTTTGTTTAAACCTCTGTGGGTGATGCGTTAAGGTAGAGAACCTCGTCAAAACTGTAACCCAGTACTAGGAATCTTCACACCTCCATATTCAGGGTGGATTTGTATTTGTATGTATCCTACAGCCTGCTCCACATCCTCCTTGGGATCATTCACATTTCCTTTCCCACGGAGTGGTAAAGAGCAGTCAGTGGGTGTTGAGATTTCATTCAGCTCTTGCAGGACGCGTTGTTCTGCGCTCGCGGCTCCGTCTCCATCCCCTCTGCCTGCGTGGCTCCGTGCCTGTGCTGCTGGAGGGCTGTCTCTCTGCATGAAAGATGAATCCAAAACCCTTCCCAGCAGTGATCAATGAGCTCAGAGGGCGCTTGTCATGCAGCAAGTATTAGCCTTAGTGTCCTGGTCACGCTCCACTGTAAATCTGGGCTGCTGCTCCGCTGTTCCTCTTGGATGTGGAGCAGTTCCTGACTCCTGTGCCCTGAGCTGCTCCTTTCATACTGTTGCTGTGAGCTGTTAAGTAGCTGGTGCATTTCACCCCAGGGTTAGCTGAATTTGACTGCTGGGTGAAGTGTTCCCATTATAGGCTGCATATCAGTTTGCAAAGCACTTCGCAGCCCGGGCGTAATGAAAATTAATCTGTTATTAATGAGCGAGAGTGTATGTGCCACACAGCAGCCATGTGCTTAGTGAAAAAAAGAACCATCCTTTCATGAATAAAACTGAATGAACCCGTCACAGAGAGTTTCCCCTCAGCGTGGATGTGTGGTAGCAGTGTTTGATCACAGCAGTTGAATAATGCCATAAAAATGAGGATACGACTTGATGTTTTACATTTCTTGGATGAAGAAATGAAGGGGGTTTACCCAATCTCATTAATTACCAAGAAACAGAAATGAGAAATGCAGAATAAACAGCGATGAAAGAATCATTGCCCCTGGAAATTAATGAGTGTTAATTTGATTATGGAGACTGCATGTCACCTCGAGCTGAGCAGGCTTTGGGGTGTACTCGGTTTTGTTTTGTATTTGTGGCCATTTTTCTGGCTGGTTGGTGATTGTGCTGAGTGCTAAACAGAAGTGTTTCTTTCAAAGGTGAGTCGTAATTTTGAGCTGGTTGGACGGGTTAACTTGGACCAGTTGGAGCAAATGAAAGGGAAAACAGAGAGCTCTAGCAGTGATGAAGAAGAGAAAGAAGAAGAGTTAAGCCCCAAGGCTCAAGAGAGAGGTCAGTACAGCTCTTTGACATGTTGTGGGGGGTTCTTGTTGGATTTTTTTGGGGCACTGCAACCTGCCTCACCAGTCCAACCATGCCAGGTCAGCTGTTGAGTGGACAGCACATATTCCGCAGATATAGTAATAGAATGTGTCTTTCCTGAAGGAATTCTGTAGGAATCTTGGGTTTCTAATCCTCCTGACAAGTTTTTTGTCTGTTCAGAGAGAATACACACTATGAGAAAGCACAGATAGCATCTCTGACTAATCTGCCTGTTCAGATACCATCTTATAAGGGCTTGGAAAGCTATGTAAGTGTATTTTAGTGCCCTGTCAGATTTTCTGTTTTGGTAACCAGTTTCCAGCTTTCACTTGGCATTGACCAAATGAGGGATGGAGGCTGCTTTATGGGCTGTTATTTACCTCTCTGCCCAGCATTCTTTGTCAGACAGTCAGTCCTTTTTGCATTTGCTGCAGTTGGCAGCTCCAGAACCAGGGTACATCCATGCCCACCTGTCTGTACCATTTTATATTTAAATATGTGCCTAGGTTTGTATCGAAGAATAATCCCACTGACTTCAACAGAGCTAGGCCACATACTTTGGTTTGGTTGAATTTAGATCAGCAGAGCAAAAGTACGTTCTCTGATAATTAAATGAAGGGTTTCCTTTCCAACAACCTTCTCCCATGAAAGGCGAGTTATTCCAGTATCAGGTGCAACTGTGTTTTGTCTGGTGCAACAGTGCATCATATAATGCAACAACTCTTTAATATCTTTAGTCCCCTCATGGTTTGAGGGACAGGCCACCTGATGCTGACAACTCCACTTACCCAAGTTCTGTGTACTTCAGCTAAAGGTACACCACCATGTTCAGTGAACATTTTCCTCCTGACTTTTTAGCTTTCAAACCCACTCAAGAGCTATAAAAAAAAAAAAAATTGTCTGTGTACATGTTTCCAGACACTGAAAAATTCCCATTTCTAGATTCACAAGTAGTTTACAGAACTAGATTATGCTTCTTACCTTTTAATAGCAAGACCCCAGCATCTTGGATTTTATTTTTTTATTTTGTGTCGCTGCGGCGTGAATTCAGTTTGTGCTTATCAGGAGCAGTTAATGATGGCTTTTTACTTAAATGAGAATGCAGGCCAATTGGATAGGAAACCATTTATGTTTTGATGAAAAATACCCTGCACAAGGTCTTAGAGGTAGAGCAGCAGAAACATCAGAGGAGGGATGTCAGTTCCATGTGCATCTCAGAGTTCAGCATTCCTCAGGGACAGCTCCAACCCTCTCTCGGCTTGGTGGCTGGAACAACAATTGTGTCATGATTCGACTAAAGCACCAGCTCACCTCAGCTGCAGATGCAGCAGGCTGATTAATGTCGTGTGTAGACCCACAGCTAGCAGGGGGTGAGGAGTCAGGCTGTCCTTGTGAGGATTACCTTAGCATTACACACGGGCACAGGTGCTGAGGTGACCTTGGAGGCTCTGGTGCCCAGACCAGGGAGAAGAAAGTGCTCTCTGCCAAGCCTCACAAATCCCTGTGAACGTGCCAGGGGTAGTGGGGCAGCCCAAGGTGAAGTTTATTGTTTAAATTTGCTTTAGGTTACACCCTGGAAGTATAAAAACATTGCCTTCCATGCTGGAGTATTACATGTGCAAGGGTTAATAGATGTGTTATCCTCATGTTTCAGAGTTAAGCAAGGCAGCGTTTTGATGATTCTGTACTTTTTTTTTTTTTTTCACCTCTGTCTCTGTTTTCTTTAATCTGTGACTGGCTAAAATGATTTCTGCATGCTTGTTTGGATGACCAACCTAAAAAAAATCAGGCATATTTTCAGGTTTGCTTTGCAGCATTTCTTTCATCTCTGGCCTGATATTTCACCATTGGTTTTGTTGAGGTTTTTTGTCCATTTCAATCTCTTAACCATTTGTAATGGATTATAGTAAAATAGGTAGAAAATGCAGAAAACACTTATGCCTACTACAACAAGGATATTAGAAAAGATCCAGTTGTATTGATTGCGTTTTTCTAGGTAAGTTGTGTGAATTACCACTCTTAAGGTGCAAGATTTTTGGAAAAGGTCCCAGTGAGACAGGAACTGAAGGACACTGGCATCTCCCTAGGCATTTTCAGAAGATGCTTCTGGCACAGAAATGGTTTGCCCTGGTAGCAGAGAGCCAGACCTGTGGTTTCAAACAGAGCCTGTCACAGTGGCTAATGCTGTCACAGCTTTCAAACCACATCAAAACTGTGCAGTCCTGGGTGCTGCTGGGGTGCATCTGGCAATTCTAGCCTTTGTGGTGTTTAGCAGGAAGTGAGATTTGCTGAGAGTGCCTCTGTGTGCTCCAAATACCTGTCTGAGGTCTGTGACTTTGGGAGAAAAAGGATTTCTTCCCCTGGATTCACCACTTCGACTTGACCTGCTCTGTGCAGTACTCAAGGTGCAAATAAGAACTTGTGGCTTCTTCAAATGGGCTGCTGGACCAAACAAAGGCTGTTGTCTGCGTGGACAGGCAGAGCTGAACTGCACTCTTGGGTGGGAAAGGAAGGGAGTAATTTTTTTGTGGTAAAGGATATAGTATAAAAGGAGATGTGTGGGAAAAAATGAAGTGTCTGGCATAGACCATGCCAAGAACAGCTTTCCCAGGTAGAATTGTGTCTCAGAAAGGCTCTTACTGATCTTTGTGTCTTGGTCTCGGCAGATCAAGAGGTGTTTTTCCATAATGTGCAAAAATTAAATGTCCACAGGCGTTTACATGTGTGGCAGAGCAAAACCACAGAGAGGTCAGGCGTGTGTGCAGTCTGTTACTTCTCCTCTGCAGCACCCACAGCAGCCTCTGATAATCCTTCAGGGAAGCAGCCCAAATTCACATCCCTAGAGGCAAAACTTGATGGGGAGTAGGATGAACAAGATAGTGTTGAATGAAGAGGTGGTGGATTTACTAGAGTAACACTTGCTGAACTTGATAGGATTTGCAGGCATAAATTATGGACTGGCTTGGGTTGGAAGAGCCCTTTAAAGAGCATCCAGTCCCACACCCTGCCATGGGCAGGGCCACCTTCCACTATCCATCCATAGCTATACTCCTACACAGAACATCAGCAGCATTTGCCTCCAAAACGATTACACTCCAAAAAATTTATCTCTGTGTCATCACTAGTCTGTGTGCTGCAGTATGTTTATACACTTGTGCCATGCTTAAGGTGTCAGAAATCCAGTTGTAAACCCACCTGATGGCATTTTCTGCTTGCATTCCAGTGTTCCCCAACACAGCAGCTTTATGATATTTTACCACATAATAAATAAACCCCCAGCAATAAGAAAAACAAAGTGGGTTTTTTTTTTTCGTTTCACGGGAAGAGGCCAAAAAATTGTGTCAAGAACCATTCTGTATAAAACTGAGGTAAAGGTTAACTATTGAGAAGTGCGTCAGAAAAATGCATTTGCGGGACTTAGGTGTGGGTAATAGGGAATGTGTGAGCAATTTTGAGTTCATAGACTGATCCTGAACAGAGTAAGTCTGAGAGTGAAGAAATCAAGTGAGCAGAGATCAGAACCAAAATTAAGCAAAATCCCTTTTCTTTTATTATGTAGTTCAGGAGGAGTCAGAAAGACATTCTGTTGATTTCTTGCTTAAGATAATCCCTGCTAAGGAATTAATGCTCTGAGCAGATGGTGCTGTCTCATTTCCAGCAAAAGAATCAAGTGAGATAGTTCATGCAATTATTTTCAATGGCTTGTGCAGTGATCTTCTTAATTTGTGAGAAAATGTTTCATCTTTTGTCAGAGCAGGCTGTGTTCACATGGAGCTTGGCTTTCAGAAATGTCATTCCCTGAGCTGCCAGTGACTTCACTCATATTACAAGGTGCTTGACACTTCTGCAAATGAGGCCCCAAGCAGTTTGTATAAAAGATTAGGATGAGCATGATACACCTATGCAGTTAGGATGCAGGACTTAATCCATGAGGCATCATGACCTATTACAAGAATCACATGTTAAATCCGTGTGTTTCCTAAAATTTGTACTACCAGCTCCAAAATTAATGGTGGCCTTGGGTGGGGATTTTGATTTTGCTTTCAAGCCACTTCAGTCCTAAGCTTTGCAGTTTTGGTTTAGAATTTAAAATCCACAGTCTCTTCATTTGTTGAAATACAGGAGCAGGAACTAGTAACTTGTTACCCTTAATTTTAGAGGTGCTTTAAGACCTAAGATGGGATGTGTCACTTGCAGTGTCACTTTTCTTTTCAGCAGCTGCATTTTCCCAGTTATTTGACGAGAAAGTCCTTTTGCTTCTGTGGGATGAGAGGTGCAGCAGAGAGGACTGGAGCCGGATCACTGTGGTCCCTTCTTGCCCTGGCATGTCTGAGCTCACGGGCTGTGCTGTCTTTTTGCAGACCCCATGATGTTTCCTGACAGCAGTGCTCCAGAGAAACGCTTTCCGTGCGAGTTCTGCGGCCGATCCTTCACCGAGGGCTCCGAGTGGGAGCGGCACGTGCTGAGGCATGGCATGTAAGTTGGTTTGTGTTCCCTTGCCAAGCAGCCAGAGGTGTCAGTAGATCTCTGTGTGTTCCCCCCACCCCATCCCTGCCCTCCCAAAAAGCTGCAGGAGGTGCCAACACAGTTCTGTGAAGACCAAATTTGTCTTTAGATAGTCATCGAATGTCTCTGCATCCTTTTTGACCCTACAGGTGGCTGTAAACTGTAGGGTTTAATGTGATTCTAAAACTTAAGGTTATCCCTAGGTGAATGCCTCCTGGTCAGGATTAACTTCCCCTTATTGATGTTTAAAAAAAAATTTCCCCTCTACGCCAGTTTGCACCTGTGGGATGATAGGCATCACAGATAGGAATCCTCTGGAGCAATCTGTTTCCTTCTTTTAATGTAGCAGAGACCTCTTTTCTAGCCAGAGTTTGTTCAAAGAATAGATTTCACTCCAGACTACTGACATGAGGGAAGCATCTGAATACAGTATTGTGGGTTAACTGTGATGGGATAAGAAAAAATAACTTGTCTGACCCTTAAGAGAATGTAAGTCTGAACATAAGTACATGAGATGCTGCAACCTATGAAAAGTTCTCTTGGATTTTATTAACCTCGGGAAAAGCACTCCTTTCCTGTGCCTTTGCTTGGTGCCTCCCAAGTCTTGTTTACAAGGGGCTGTGGGGGAGATGGAATAAACTCCAAATGTCGCAGTTGGAGTCCTCCCTTCCGATCCCAAATCCGTCCCAGCGCAGAACAAGCAGAGAGATTCGGTTTCAGGGCTAGAATGTCCCACCAGGCGACTTCAAAGGCTGTATTTTTGGGGAGGGATCAGCTGCTGTGCCGGGCTGGCTTGGCTGTGCCCCGTGTCCCACCGCGTTGCTCCCCGCAGGGCGCTGAGCGAGAGCAAGCACAGGAGCGGCGAGGACAGCCAGCCCAAGGAGGACGGGGAGGAGACGGCCAGCACGCTGCCCGAGGAGAAGGAAGGCATCGAGACCATGGTGGTGGACTACTCCCACGGCGGGGAGACAGCCGTCAGCATGGTGCCTGCTGACCAACCTCTCCTGGACACCCCGGAGGCCAAAAACGAATAAGAGCAAGCGTTTGGTGTGGTTCTGATCGACAGTACTTGAACAGTGATGAGCGGGGCGGGGTGGGGCGGGGAGGGCAGAAGGAAGAAATAAAGCTGCTTTTAGGACTGAATGATCTATTTTCAAAGCACTGGTACCTGTGTGAGTGTGTGTATATTAAAGTTATTTAAGTGGTGGAATAAGTGGCTCCCATTACATCACTGCATCTTTGTTTTCCTCCTGGATCTGACGATGGGAAGTTACGTTCATCTTTGGACTAATGAAGCAACTCCCCGTGTTTTTCCTACATTACACATCGTGCTTTGCAGTGGAGACTTCGCTTGTTTTATGAGTGGAAGCGTCGTGAGCGTGGAAGAAGTGGTAGGGGGACAACTTTCGGGCGCACAAGTTTGTGTGCGTTTTTCTAGTTTTAATACGTAACACTTTTCCAGACTGAAAGCAACTGCTTTAGAAAAGAAAAAAACAAAAAAAAAAAAAGAGAAAAAAAAAGAAAAAACAAAACCACCACAGGAAAAACAAAAAAAAAAAGGAAAACAGAAAAAAAAAAACAAAAAAACAAAACAAAACAGAAACTGCTTTGCTTAAAACAGTCACCTGTTTCCTAGTACCTCAGAATTAACCAAGGGAGATCTCTGCATTTGTCAGTACTACCTGTTGTTGTTGTGGTTAAATGTAGAGAGACTGCTGGGCAAGGTGGTGAATGGAGGAAGAAAAAAAAAAAAAAGTTTTAAAGAAAGGAAAAACAAATTGTGCTTAAAATCCCAGTGTGGGTTTTATTTCTTAAAATACTGTGATTTTTTTAATTATTTTAGTAAAAAAAAAAAACAAAAAAAAGAGAGAGATACTTTAATTCCTAGATAACTGTTTGTGAATTGTCATACTTTATTCCAGGTAAGCTGTTTGTTAGTATTCAGTTATAATTTTAGTATTTGGTAGATTTCATGTGACTGATTGTGCGGTTTTGTTTGCCACACGTTTTGTTTTCTATCAGCCTGAGGTGTTACAAATACAGCACAATTAAGTTTCTCATGTAAAAATGAGTATTTCTTTTCGAGTGGGGGACAGGGCAAGGAGACTAGATCTTGTGAATAGAACCTTTTTTTGTTGTTGTCGTCGTCCTCGTCGTTGTCCTCGTTAATTTTAAACATATGGAGATAACAAAGAAGTTTTAACTTTAAAAAAAAAAAAAGACTAAAGAACCAAACTTACAGCACAGCTATGCAGCTCATGGGCCAAACACATGGGTCCTCATAACCGTTCTGTTGCTTGTCATATTAACATCGATCAGTCTCACAACTGTAACTTTTCGTTGAGATTGGCTGCCTTTTTTTTTCCCTTTTATTTTTTTTTTTTAATTCCGTCTGTGGTTTGTGCGTGGGTTTTTAGTTGTTTTTTTTTTTGGGTTTTTTTTTTTTTGTATTTCTGTTTTGTTTTGTTTTGGTGTGGTGGGAGGGAGGGGTGTCTGTTAACACATCTTTTTGCAAGTGGAGGTGAGATGGTTACACACCACATTGAGCCTGGAGAACTACTTTTAACTCGATTCAGTGGATGGAGTTGCTGAGTTTTTTTTCACCTCCTCCTTAGCTTTTTAGCATGAGGGGAGCAGTGTAGAATCGATAGGAACCTGCATACCTTAAGTGGCTGATCCTGCACCTACTCTGTAGGTACAAAGCCTATTTAAACTCAATTTGGGGATTTTGCCTGAGCGGCCAATACAGGATCTGGTGCCCACGGTATGTTCTGATTGTGAACAAAAAAGAGGAAAAAAAGAATTAAAATTATTAAAAAAAAAAAAAAAAGAGAAAAATGAGAAAAGAAAAAAAAAACTGAAAAAAAAGTTTCTTTCCAAAAAGTAGAAAGTACTTGACTGAAACCTAGTTTTAGAAATGCATGTGTCTTCGTTTGTTTTTTTTGTTTTTTGGGGGGGATCTGGGGGAGGGGGAGGGGGGAAAATAGGAAGCTCTCCAGGAAATTGTGTCCTGGAGAGCTTCACTTAAAAGCGATGGCAAAAATGTTGCATTTGTGGAATAAGTGCTACTTGAGAAGCATGGTGTTTTGCTTTTGGGGATTCATCAATTGTGTGTTAGGGGGATTCTTTCGATTTTTCTGTTGGTTTTTTTGTTTTGTTTTGTTTTGTTTTACTTTGTTTTGTTTTGGTTTCTTTTTTTTTAATAGGGAGGGAACATCATAGAAAAGACACATTGGAGGGACAAGTATAAATACACATTTTGTGTCTGTATTTGTTTCTTAATTGGCCTCATTTCAAATATATTTAAACAGTTCCATACCTGGATTGGGTGTTTGTAATGGTTACCAAAAAGGAAAAAAAAAAAAAAAAAAAAAAAAAAAAAGAAACAATGATTGTGACATGCTTTTATCACTACTTAATTTTTCAAATAACATGTAAATATTGTAATCCATTGGATTTTGTTTTGCTAACCTGTAATAAAAAAAATATGGGACCATTATCCTTTTAACAAGCTTAGAATGTCATATTTTTTTCCTTTTTTTCTTTTCCCAAAAATGTATACCTGATATATTGTGGACACACATTTTAGGTGCATTATTATGATTCTGTTGACTGTAATGACATAGAATTGAAAATAACATTTTTTTCATTGTTTAATTTATACAGAGGACTTTTTCAGAGTTTGACAGAAGGAAATAATAGCAAAATGCTAACCCATTGGCTTCAGCACTCGGTATTTCCTGATTTTAAAATTACTGCTTACTGATGGGGGATAGGAAGGGGATACTGAACTGTTGCACTGACGGGTTTGTTTTTTTTAAAAAAAAAAAAAAAAAACAATGAAAATTAATAAAAACTTTTTAAGAGTGTTTGCTCGTCTTGTGTGGTTTTTATATTTATATTACTCTGGAGATGGGTCCGTACAAGTTACTGGTTTTGCACTTGGCAGCCCTGGGTGGGAGCAAAGTCCTCCTTTTTCCCTCCTGCAGCCTTTCCCCCAGTGTTTCACAGGGAATTTTTGATCTGCAGGTGTTGGGGAGTGACTTGCCTTAGGTCACACAGGTCTGGGGTCTACAACATCCCCCAAAAATGCCTCGAATGTGCCCCAGCCCAACACCCATTAGATGCCAGGGGCACACTGCCAAGCTCTGCTGGCTCCTCATGAACCCAAACACAGAAATGAGGAAATTTTACAGGCTATATGGGGAGGTCAAATTAGATGGAGACAGGCTGGTATTTGTATTACCAACTCAGCCCTGGCGTAAGCTGTTGCAATATTGCATTCCCCAGTATCTGCTGACCTGCTGGATCCAGCACCGAGGCTGTTCTCATCTGGAGGTGGATGTATTTCCTCATTCTCCAAAAAACCCAAAGTGATGCTCGTGGTGTTGTCACAGAATCTTCCTTTGCTAAATACAGGTTTTTCAATGCATGTTGGTATGATGTCAGAAGGTTGTTGGGTTTGGTTTTTTTCTTTTTCCCTGTCTGGTTGTGTTTTAATCAGATCCGGCTCTCAGTTTAAACAGCTTTTTGGTGGTGGTGGAGTTGGATCTCAAAGGAATGTCTATGCTGTGAAACAGCATGAAACCTTTGATCACCTGATAGCTTTACATGCTCGTGCCTTTTTCCTAGGAGTCAAGAAGGAGAGAAATATTTCGCTGTTAAGATGCTTATTTCCATTACCTGTGATTACAGGGAAAAGGTAGAAATGATGCATTTTGGTAGTATCAGACACTACCTTTTTTCAGGGGCCTCTGGAAACATTTATTCAGAAAGACCTACAAGTAATTTGCACATTATGTGTTCTAGCCCAGAGCCTACCTGCTCTTTCACTAAATTAAAAGAGGAAAGTGCTGCTCAGTGATATATCACTAATCAGGATTACATCACTGATGTAATAATGGAAGACCTTGGGGTGAGTTCTAGATTCCTGCATTTTTCCACGCAGCTTAGTGTCAGCATTGTGTGAGTTTGAAAAAAAGTAATTGATCTCCCCATCTGTAGGTATCAGGCTGGATGTGACTGGATCATAAAATCATGGAATGGTTGTGGTTGGAAGGAACCATAGAGATCATTTTGTTCCAACCCTCCACTATCCCAGGTTGCTCCAAGCCCTGTCCAGCTTGGCCTTGAGGGATGGGGCAGCCACAGCTTCTTTGGGAAAACTGTGCCTCCATCCTCACAGCCAGGACTTTTTTCCTAAAATCCCATCCAAACCCATTCTCTTTGATTTTAATGCACTCCCACTTGTCCTGTGACTACAGTGACAGTCTCACCCTGCCTTTCCTCAGCCTCCCTGGGTCACCTGTGTTGAGGACCCTTCCTGAGCTGAAATCACAGGAGTGGGAGGGAAGAAGCAAAGGGAATGGTGACTAAAAATGATCCTTTACTCACATTATTACCCCTCTGCCTCGATGGGCAAGTCCCTTTCTTTCAGCTGAGAGCCCTGGGCTTCCCAGGGGATGTCTGTGCTGTGGGGCAGGTGGGGTTTTGCACACACTGTGTTCCCAGGCTCATTGTCCTCCCTTTGCTTGTGAAGCCTGGGTAAATGTTTGCCTCATTATTGCTGTCTTGACTGCTGGCATTTTCCTCCAGCCTGGAGGTGCAGTGCCTGAATGCTCCCCATGCAGAGCTCTTGCCTTTGTGTCCACCCCAGAGCGAAGGTTTGGCAGGAGTTGCTATGGGAATACCCTCCTTTCCAAACATCCAGCCTCCCTGGAGGAGAGTTCGGCCTTAGAGGTTGTCCTGTGACTCAGGGAGAGCACTGAAGCTTGGCAGAGTCACATACAAGTCTGGATCTGTGGGGTTTCCAGAGGAAAATCCACTCTCTGGGAAGTGGGTGTGGAATCCTGGTACTCGTGGCCGGTTTATCTTCATGTGAACCTACACTGTGAAAGTCAGGCTCCAGGCTAGGAGGAAACATCTCAGCACAACTGCTGGTGTCCAGCTCAGTGGAAGCTGGCCCACGTTTCTGCTCTCTTCCTCACTCTGAAGTCTTCCTTCGGTGTTTTTCTGAGAACACAGGACTTTTGCTCCATGAGAGTCAGCTGCCTGGCTCCAAAGCAAGGAGGTCACAACCACCACTGGAGATCACAAACACCAGCAATAATCCTTCTTTTGGCAAGAGGCTGAAACTCTTGATCTCCAGATCTCCCTCCTGAGCCTGCTTCCCAGTTCCTATTTATTTGGTGTTCTCTAAACCCTTGACATCTTCAGCTTGTCACTTTCTGGAAGCCCACGTTTTTGGTGGAGTGTGAGCTTATTTGAGGGTGTGCTCACTGACTCACAGCTCTTCTCTGAGCAGCATTTCTGGCTTCCTGTGTCTCATAATTTCTGACCAAAAGGCAAATCTAAAAGTAGGAGCAAAAAAAAAAAAAACAAACCAGGCACCTAAATGTATGCTCAGTGGCATTGCATGTAACTGAGACAGTGATTTCTTCAAAGTGGATTTTATCAGATTTTCTCTTTAGGTTTGTAGGCATCACTGCCAAGGGACAGTGCACAAGGGCTCTTAACATGCAGGAAATTATCATCACAGAGGAGAAAATACAGCTCTCTATTTCAGATTTAATTCATTCCAGCTTGGGTCCTACAATCAATCCTTTCTCTCCAGCGCTCACACAGCATGCTGCAAATCAAGCTAAACACCCAAAATGGTACCAGGGTGGGGAGATTTGGGGTTTGCTTTGTTCTTGTGGTTGAGCCAGTGTTCTCCCTTTTTACCGCTGGAGGAATCTGAAGCAAAGACCTGTCAGCTTGCAAAAAGCTGAGAAAAAAGGCACAAAAAATAAGCAAAATAAAATAAATTCTCATGCAATGCACTGTTTTTTGTAGCAACAGGTGGACTGTGCAGCTAAGACCCAGGTAGCACAACTGACTTTCCTTTTGCTGCATTTGAGATCTGTTTTGTTCCAGCAGAATGTGGAAATTGATCAGATCAGGTGTGTTCCCTCTCTGGCTTAATGTCTTGACTCCCGAAGGAGAAAAAAGAAAATCCTGCTGGGAGCAGGAAGGGACTAATCTGTCCCTAATGAAAGTCTCACCTTAATCCATTCTGACAAAAGCTTTATCCACGGAAGTAGAAGAAGTTGTACCTCTTTCACATTCATTTTGTGTTCTGATTATATAAGTTACAGTACTTTTGCTACTAATTCTATTCTAGATTTGACTGAACATCTAGTTTTTCTGATGAGAACTGAGAAGTAAAATATTATTGTGTTAAAAATTTTTGCTATTTTAATATCCCAAAAATAAATGTTTCCTAAAAGTTAGTTGTGTGAGCTGTGTTACTCCGACGTTTTTCATGAAATGCATTTTTCATCAAATAATCAGTGAAGAATTGCAATTTCAGCTAGTATGCTTAGGAAAAAAAATGAAGTCAGGTGCTGGAATGGGAGGAGACATGCTTTCCTTCTCAAATAATTTCTCTCTTTGAATATTTGGTGTAACAGCAAATATGCCTCAGCTCGATTCTTGAATTCTCTGTGGAGTTTACACTTCTGTTAATGAAGAGCTTAGCTCAGTCTAGCCAAATGTACATGCATGACTTCCAAATCTAAGTGAAATGTGTCTCCCTGCAGCTGTTCTGTTGTGCTCTCAGCAGCATTTACAGAGAGGCGGGTATTCACCAGCAATGCCTCAAATTAATTTAGCTCGTGCTGAAAATGTTGGACTCAAATTTAAAGTTTTATCTCAACTGAAGAAAACTGTATATAGCTACTGTGCCAAATATTGCTTCAGGTCCTTGTGGAATCATTTTGACCAAAGTCACTGCAGGCTTCTAGCAGAGATGCTGCAGTTAAAGGAATTTTAAACCATGGAAGGTAGTTTTTGTCTGTAAGAACCAACAAATAATTAGCAGGCAAGCTCTGTATAGCACTGGGCTTTTGATGGTTTTTTTTTTTTTCCAGGAAAAAAAGATGTATTTTCCTCTGCTTAGACTCCTCAGGACTTCAGGCACATGAATGTTGAAACCACATGATCTGGGTAAAAATAGTCCTTCAGGAGTGGAAGGGGTTTGGTTTCTCATAGGTAAATAAATATCCACCACTCCAAACATGCTGCCTGCAGAAAGGCACAAGGCCTTTGAGATGTTTTGCTGCAGCTGCAGAGTATTTCTTGCTAATACCACAGGAAAACCCTCCAGGAAAAAAGGTTACAAAATGGTGTTTTCTTCCCCCTGTTCCTCAGCTGCTCCTGTAAGCTCCTCTTCCTCCTTTGCTTCACGGGATTGCTCTGGAAGCCAGGGGGTAAATGCTGGCAAGGATGTGGCTGGTAGGAGTTGGGCTGTTTAAGGAGACATTATTATGATTTTTGGTTGAGGTGCTGTGAACAGGACTTACGTTTCTTCAGCTCAGTGGCAGAAAAAGGATTTTTGGGGGTCAACAGCTTTAAATATGACCAATCCCTCCCTGAGGAACAGGTTGTGCTTCTGTGCCGTTAACCAAAAGCAGGAAGGGCAGGTGGTCAGGTGTTGATATCATATCCCATACAAATGACTCAATGAACAGCAGCAACAAGGGTATAATTATATTCTTAACACCAGATTAAATGTATGTTGTTATTTAATCCATTTAAAAGTTCATATTTAGCAATTAGGACCTCATTCTGCAGGGTTTCATGCTGTAACCTAGATTTCTTTCCATGTAATTTAATTGGAAAGCTCACAAGGAGATTTTTTTTTTCCCCCTCACGTTAATTTATATCAAGTGGATGCTGTCGCTGAGTCAGTGGGGTGTTCCTGGGAGAGCCTTAAAAGGAGAGAATTCACCTGGATTTTGCCTGTGAGGGAAAAAAAAAAAAAGGTAGACCCTCTCCTCATTGTGATCCTTGAGAAAAAACACTGTGAATTCAAATAGAGGCATGATCA